TTTTTTTTTTTTTTTTTTTTTTTTTTTTTTTTTTTACCTCCTCCCATCTTCGTACATCTCCATTCTATCAAAAGGAACTTGCTTAATCGAATAAACGCTTCTGTCTACCTACCCCCCTATCGTTTTATTTTCGAAAAAAAAAAAAAAAAAAAAAAAAAGTGGCCAAAATATGCCATCGGTTCTTTGTACGACAATTTCCAATGACATATGGGGACACACCAAAAAGAGTCATCACAATCGACACTTCGTGTGTGTGTGTCGGCAACTCTCATCTCTTAGCGCAAAATTGAACTTTTATTTCGTTTCGCGCGTTTTTTTTTCTTATGTCTTACATTTTTAAATGTAAAGAATGAACAGGCGAACTAGCCACTCTAGCTATATGAACAAGGAAGGGGAATACAAACACCACCAAGTGGGAGAACCAAAGGGAAGCAGAAACGATATAAGAAATACATCAACAGAAAGGTGGATCCATGCAAAGGGCCACAATAATGAGAGAAGCCAAAGTGGAGAACCATCCCTTCCTAAGTGGAACCACGCAACCAACTCGAAAAGGGAACTGATGAGTCGCCATAATAAGAAGGGGGGGAGCCAAGAAATGTTTGCAGGCTCAGGCCAAGGGCCAAACGAGAATGGCGACGCCAGAATGGCAAATGGGAGAACTGCCCACATGCAAATTAGAAATGGGCTAAGTGCTACCACCCAAACCAACGCACACGGCGTAAGACAACCGGCGCATCGCGGGGGCCCCCCGCACCCCGGAGCAAGCATGAAAAACAATCAAGCGGAACAAGAAATGACCAACCAAATGGCCCACCAAAGAGAAGTAAACATCGTTTTGCATCACCAAAAGGGGGGCATTGAAAAAAGTGCCTACTCGAAAAAACATCGTCAGGTTATGCCCAGAGGGAAAGCATTAGTGAACGTGTTACAGAGGCCAGAGGGGGGACCTCCCGGTCCATCTCATACTAACTCGAGAGATAGGGACCTCTCCCAGGAGAGCTTCCAAAGGACCCTACCTAGCAGTCGCCTCATCCAAACGGCTGCACCAAGCAGTCGCCTCATCCAAACGGCTGCACCAAGCAGTCGCCTCATCCAAACGGCTGTACCGAGCAGTCGCCTCATGAGGAAGGAAGAGAGCACTTTCTCTAACCCCATGTTAGTTCTAAACACCAGAGGAAACAAACCAACACACACGCAGAGTACCTCGATCAAAACCCGAATGATAAGAGAAAATTTTTTACAAAAACATAAAACGACACAAAACAACTTTCTCGAAAGGGACACAAGACAGAGGGAACAAATGGGAATCCCTCAGCAAGAATCATTTAACAAAACAATAATAGAAGATTACCCAACGCACTTTATTCACTTGAATGACCGATGCAGCAGAGAAGGAAGCATCGATCAGTCACATTTTTTATACATGAAAAACAACGCCACTTCAAAACGCTTAGATATTACAATGCAAGGAAAAAAGCATGAACAAAGAAGACACGAATACATGAACCATAATAAGAACACCTTACAAGGAGATCACCTTCATCACATGAAAGATCGCCAACAGAGAGACAAACTTATGCACCTTCATAAGCAAGGCGCAAGTGTGAAATTTCCTTATGGAATGTATGTTAAAAAAAGTGTAGGAAGAAATGGAAATGGTCATTCAGAAAAAATCACCAACGGTATGATCATCGACAGCAACTGTATTCGAGCTGTTCATTGTAGGTCAAGGAACATGGAACTCATGAACACAACCCACCCCCAGTTTGGCAGAAGAAGAGTTAGCCAGATGGAGAATCTGGTCAAGAGGAAGTCAATTAGGGATGAATACAGAAGAGGAATATCGTCCGATGCAACTACAAACACTTGCAGTGAGTCCACTGTGCCTGTAGCGTCAAGTGGGTCAAGCGAGTCGTGCGAGTCAAGCGAAGCGAGCAGCTCAGGTCCAGACTGTGCCTCCCCACTCCATATAATTAACGCGGACAGGCGCCCTTTTTTCATAAACGAAAACCCATTTCTAAAGACACCGCTATCCATTTTCTCTTTGAAGGATCCACACAAAACTACACAAACAAAAAGCTACATATCGATTAACAAGGTACATCATAAGGATATGTGGAATGGTTCTAATGACCCTTTTAGGGGTCCAAGGAGTTGTAACCCTACACAGACCTCCTTCGCGACGCGTCCTCCATACACATCTGCTACACAAGAAAACATTTTTAACAAGAAAAGAGATGGTATTAACACCCGAGGAGGAAGCAATAATCTTGTTTTCAATTTACCAAACAGAAGTGGCGACTCACACAGGGGCAGTAGAAACAATTACTCTCACCATCCACATGAACATGTTCAGGCGATTAGACACATCAGATGTGAAGAAAATGATCCCTTTGATGGACTGAACTCAGAGGAATTCCCATTCACATGTGAAAAGTACAAACGAGAGGTGAAACCATGTGCGAGGGAGACGAAGCAGGAACGTCGTCCTCCCAGTAAAGACAACCAATTTGCTACCTTTGGAAAACACAATAGAGAAATGTGTATTAGGATTGATACCTCCTGTGTCGGCGGAGATGTTGATGCCTCGATCAGAGCTATTCAAACGAACGCTGCACACAGGGTAGTCGCTGCAAATGCGGCCAACGTGGTGAAGGCCGCGAACAGGAATGGGTTACACCCCACGGGAAGCCTATATAACCAAAATCTGCTACACCTCACGCATGAAAAGGTGAAGAAGGGTCTCACCTTTGACGAAATGAGGAGAAAGAGCTTCGAAGCCATGCACGTTAGTCAGTCCCCGAATCCTCAAATAAAGTATAAACAGCACGACATGCGCCATGTGCATGATTTTTCCAATTATTCCATACACGAAAGGGAAGAGAGAAATAAAAAAAACGCACGGAGAAGCGTCACCCAGTCGAGTGAATCACTAGAAACGAATTGTTTGCCAAAGAAGAGAAAACTAAATGGAACAGAGGCGATGGACAGACAAAACCATATTATCATCCCTCCAAATGGAGACCCAAACATGAGCTACAACAAAACGGTGTCTCATCCTGAGCATGGCAGAAACGACAAATCAATGTTGAGGACCAACTTTAGGACAGAAAAAACAACCACCCCTTTGCAAATTACAATAAAAAACATCGAGAAAAATGAAATATGTGATAGGACAAAACGGGGACAAGCCAATCTTTCCACTCGTGAAGAAAATAAAAAAGAAAATTGCATTAACATACTTTCACAAAAAAAAAACAATTTCAAAGAGAAAAATGTTATGAAGACTTGTTCAGGCAGCTATCAAAAGGATCCCCTGCCAGTTTTACGAAAAAAATTTGCAGTACCTCCAGTGCTCATTAATAAATTGAACAAACAGTTTAACGCTACTGTGGGTAGTAGCTGTGAAGACAAGAGGGGAAATACAAACACGGAGCTCCTTTACCGCAGAGCAGCAATAACACAAGTTTCTAACCTTAATGCAGTTGGGAGAAACAATGGGGACATCCGACAGAGAAGCCTAAGTGGGAATGATGAGGAAAAATTAAACAAAGAAAAATGGAGAAAGAGGGTAAATAACGTTCCTACATGGGGTAGTGGCGCCATGCTAAGTAAAAACTGCGTCGCAAACTCGAAGGCGCCACAAGTGAGTAGCCAAAAGGATGTTAGAAATGGTGCCTCTTTTGTCAAAGCAAGCAAATCACAACAGGCGAAGCAGAGTAACGATGCACAAAAGGACACACAAGTAGTGGGTGTTGTCTCTACCAATCTGCGCAGCGCATATGCGTTTGCTCCAGGAATGGGAAAGTTCCCTGTCGCAAATGACCAATCGAGAGAGGACGCGCATGTTGAGGGGGAAAGTGGACCATTTTGCGACATCTTCAATTTGAATGGCTTGTCAAACGGGATGAAAACGCAGAAGGAAACATCGAAAGATGCCACACAAGAGGGTAATTGCTACACGCATTTTGCTATACCCACGAGAGGTGCCTGTTCGCCATTGTTTACACGACCTAGCTATTGTTCTGTTTCGTTTTGTATTTTTTTTTTTTTTTTTTGTTTGTGTACATTTTTTACCTGACCTAGCTAGCTATTATTTTATATATTTTTTTTTTTTTTTTTGCATTTTTCACCTGACCTAGCTAGCTATTATCATATATATTTTTTTTTTTTCCCGTGCAGCCATCGTTGCACACGCACCCAATCCCTGCAATGGTGCTCCCCTGGTGAAGAAGACGAACCGGACTAAGGTGCCCAAGAACGCAGATGACAGACCCGGAGGAAAATCATGTGAGGAAGAGGAGCTCGGAACAGAAACGGACGACAACCCGGCTGCTCTGAGTGATGGAGCGACAAGTGCGCTTAGAGACAGACAGGGCGTTACACTCGAGGGCGGGGCCCAAAGGGTTGACGCAACAAAAGCGAGTGACGAGTCCAGTGCGATCAACGCAGCTAATGCAGTTGACGCAGCTAACACGGACCACGCCACTGACAATGCGAATGCAGTGCGCATGTGCGCGGAAGCACGCAGGGAGAAGAGACTGCCAGGTAGTGCCTCGGCAAAAGCATTATCGAACAAAGACGCTCCCGTGGGCACAGGAGCAGACCTCGCAGGCAAAGGCAAAGAGAAGGACGAAAAGAGCCACACATCAAAGGAGGAACCAAATGGAGAGGAAGGTACAACGTGGCCGCATGAAAGTCATTACGGAAAGAATGTAGAGGAGGGGGCTGATAAACTTATTGACAAAAATAAGCAGCAGGATGTTGCGAAAGAGAAAAATGAATGCCTCCCTCTCTTTGGTGATGTCGAAGTGGTAGGTAAATTTCTCCAAATGGATGAAAGCACAAAGGATGCTAGCCGCTCGAATGATAAAAAGAAGGAAGAGCACGGCGAAGTGCGTAGCGAAGTAAATGTGGATGCGGTGAGGACAGACCACACAGTCACAACTGCACACGAGCAAGGACAGTTAGGAGAAAAATCTCGAACCAACCACGCGACAACATATAATGAAAAGGGAAAAGAAGAGGACCTACATCAAGACAAAGTACAGAAGAAGCCACTCACAGGGATGAAGGATTGGCAACAAGTGGACACCACGGCTGTTGCTTTAAATGAGGACAAAAAATTCAGTATGGAAAAAAAAAAAAAAGAAGAAGTGCAAGAGGATAAATCGGAAAAAGCGAAAGAAGGGGATAATAAAAAAAAAGCCAATCAGAGAAATGATGAGGACATATTGGGCATATTGCACTTTGACCTGTTTCAGCAATTACCTAAAGCACACCGTAAGGAAGGGCACACAGGGAAGGAGACCCAGGATGCATGCGCGGGCGAAAAGGAAAGGGTTGTTAAGTGCGTCGCGGAAGAAATTAACAGACCGTGTGGAAATGATAAACCGCGCGAAAAATTGTGTGATGCCCCTAGCAGCAACTCGTCTGTATGCACGCATAGCAGTGTGGGAAAAAAAAAAAAAAAAAAAAAAAATGTCCCAACCGCGCGCTCGAACAAAGCAAACACTGATAAGGAGGAATTGGGAATTTGCCTTTTGACAAACGCGAAGCAGCAACGTTCTGTCGATATAGAGGAAAAAATTCCATGTGAAAAATCGTCACACTATTTGATTGTCGATACTGCTTGTCCCCGCCCGGAGAAGACTTTTTCGAGACAGAAAAAAGAGGACTCCAGGGAGGAGGACGAGAAGAAGTCTCAGGCGGATCAAACAAGTGTCAATCGAAACGAAAAGGAAAGGGAAAAGCTTTCAATGATTAACGACAAGCCGGGTGGGGCTGGTGATGAGGGTGCCAATATGAGCGGCAGTGTCAATGGAAGTCGTGACTGTGTGGACGATGGGCAGGAGCGTCCAAGCAAGAAAACTCAAAACAACCAGTTTGACCGGAACGACACCCCCCCCAAATATTTGGACATGCAAGAAAGTGCGCAAAGACCGACAACCAAAGTGATGGCAGAACCGTCGTGTCACAAAAAGAGGAAAATTATGAGCGCGATTCCCCTCCATCTGGAGGGAGCTGCTCATACCAGCGATTTATTATTAAGTGGCGAGATCCACGAAGGGAATAACGGCGCGAGTAGCAGCGGCAGTAGTAGTGGTACTCCTGGGGATAAAGGCAAACGAAGCACAAATGAGAGCCAAGTGGCAGAAGCAATGGAAATGATGGATGACCCACTAGTGAATGGCACATCGGGAAAAGTATTTCCAAACAAACACCAAATAAAAAACGTCGTCCTATCAGGTGAAAAAACCAGCAATGGAGAAAAAAAAAAAAAAAAAAAAAAAAAAAAAAAAAAAAAAAAAAACCAGCAATGGAGAAAAAAAAAAAAAAAAAAAAAAAAAAAAAAAAAAAAAAAAAAAAAAAATCACAAGAAAGGAAGACATCCTTGGCAAGTACAAATAAGGAAGAAGTGACCAAAAGGAGTTCCTTTTTGAATGGACTTTCCCCAGATGAAAATTTGATTGAAAATGATAACGAGGATCATAAAGCAGACCCATTTTTTGACCTTCCTTTTTCCTACGACTCTCACATAATTTACCAAGCGGATGAGAGGAACGACGAAGATAGTACCAGCTACAGACAGTCGCTAAACCCAAATGCAGAAATTGCCTTTTCACTGAATGGCGACGACTTGTTTGATGTGGCAGAAGGGGACGTAGAACACAAATACGCTAGAGATGATCATGGACAAAATGGCAAGATCTTTTTTGAAGAAGTGGTGGAAGAACGGGGGGTTGACCTCCTTCTGCGCGAAGACACCCGAGGAAAACAGCCCACATGTCTACTCGAAGAAATGGACGTCACAGCGAAGGAGAAATGCACCATGGAAGGAAAAGAAGACAATCATCAGCATCACATAGAAGCACACACGTCGTCCACTACCCTCTTGGACAACACCTCGTATGACCTAAACCCAAAATACAAAAACACACATCTGTTTAGCGAATTACACGAATTACAAACCGATGAGAATAACTTGCAGCAGAACCCATACGAATCGCAGGAGAATCTGATGAAGCTATTGAATTCAAAATTTGAGGAATACGAAGGGGAAGCAGCAGTGGAGAAGGGAAACAAAATTGATACAGGTAGATGTGACGGGGAGGACGACAACAGGTTGTGCCAGTCAAGTGCAACAGATCAATCTGTACACAGAAAATATGAACCGAACCTTTTTAACAACTTAGCTCAGCAGAACATGGAAGGAGAGCTTGTACAAAACTACAAGAATGAGTGCTCCATCGCGCATGGTTATACGAATGTTTCTACGCAAAGCAGCCACCTGATGGAACGTTCCGAACAGAACCCATTCTGCATTGGAGAAAATGCGAACAACGATTTTGTGGAGTATGTCCTAAGGAACAGACTGAACGTCACCTTAGACTCTCACTTCATTAATGAAAACGAATCTCTGAAGAAAAAAGATGATCTCCAAATTAATGGGTTCAATTTTGTCGAGCAGATAGATGCACTCTACCAGAGGAGGGAAACGAATCAGAACCCAACTGGCTGTAGCGACTCTTCCCTTGTTGGAAGCAATGGTGAAGTGAACCACCTGCACAAGGGAGCGGACCCCTCTTCTGGGGACATCAATCATGAAGCTGCAAAGAAGGAAGATACCCTTTTACAGAACGACCAAATGAGAAACATTGCTCATATGAATACGTCCATTATGAATGTAGGTCAAGTGGATGAGGGGGGGAAGGATGATGGTAGCAACTGCGGTGATAGGTCTGCTAACCAGGTGGACGATGGACAGCCCCCTGCTGATCTACCTCACACGAGTGAACCGTGCCGTGATGTAATTAAGGATGATTGCTCACAGAGGGAAGACGACCCCCACTCTGCAGCTACAGGAGATCTTCCTCAAAGGGGAGCCGTTATTGCAGGTAACCGTGGTATTTGTGTGGAGAAGGAAAAACAGAATGGCCATGCGGTTGTGAGCAGTGTAACCTTACCAGATGGGAAGGACCACGGGGTATCGGGAGAGCACACTCTGAGAACCCTTCCAGGGGATGGAGTCAGCGAATTTTCTGTACCCTGCTCGAAGGGGAAGAAAATTACTATGCAGGAAGATGAAGGCTATGCCACGCTTGACTTGGAACAGATCAACGTCCTGGACGATCTTACCATGTGTGATAAGAGCGGGCTAATTGTTTGTTCTTCCTTTGCGAAACCCAAAGGTAATGCGCAAAAAGAGAGAGAAAAAAGGGGTGGCTGTGCGGTTTGCACGTCTCGCACTTAACTAGGTTTTCCCGCACGCTGTCCTCCTCGACGCGGTTAAGAGTTATCACGTTGACTTGTTCACTTCGTCACTTGTTCACCTCTTTCCCCTCATTGACAGGCCCCGAGAAGACGGAACAGGACCAAAACAGCATGAGCAGTAGGAGCAGCACGGATGGAAAAACGGAGGGGGGAAAGCTCCCCCTGAACAAGTGCACTGAGGAAGACGACTTGGCCATAGCCAACCTGGACGTCCCGTCGGGCGACCTACCCAGTGGAAGTCTGTTTCAGTTTGTTACCCAGGGCTCGTCAGATGGCAATCTTTCAGAGGAACAGGAAGATGAGGACGTCGGCCACAAGAACGACGACCCAGCTGCGGTGCATCACAAGACAGGCCACTCGGAGGTATCAGCAAATGAGCCAGCAAGAGAGGGTGAAGGTAGTGTGCCTCACCCGGTTAGCCAGTTAGATGAAGGATCTTCGTTGGGATCTAAGAAGTGGGGTGGTGTGGAACGGGAGGTCACTGGGGGAGGAGCGTCCACATTGGACGTCACAACAGGGGAGGTGTCCACGAGAGAAAAAGTGGAAGACGCGGAGTTAACTTTCAACGGGACATCGGGCGAGTCAGTGCCGGAGAAGGAGGCGTGGGGAGAGTGCATCAGCAGAGAGAGCGAGCAGGTACCAACCCTCTGTGTAAGAAATGAGACAGAGGATCCTATCAACGGGAACGCCACTCCAGAAGATAATATACCGCTTAAAGGCAAAGATGAAGAAAGAAAGGTCTCCCCCCTTTATGCAAACCACCGTGTGGAGGCAGAAAAACTAAATCAGGACATCCCTTACATAACGAACATACACAAAGAAATGCACAGATCGCCAGTGATGCCTCTTCGAATAGAAGCCTTTCACTCGCTAGAAGACCAAAGGTTAATATATGGAAGACCCGAATGGCAAAAGTATCTTTGCCCCTTGTGTGACAAAGCCTATTACACCCCAAACAGCTACATGAAGAATTATACCCACTACCTAAATGAGCATTGGAAGAAGAGAAAAATCATCGGGGGCTACATCATATTTCCATGCAAGTTGATTCATAACGGACTGGAAGAGCAGGAAGAGGACAAGGAAAAGTCATACCTAAGGATTAGCAAAAAAATGAAAAAAAAAAAAAAAAAAAAACTTTTTACAGATCCCCATTACCATTGTCCTATATGCATAAACGTGCACTTCACAGAATACGTTGTGCTAACAGAGCACTGCGTGAAATTGCACAAGTCGTCCGGTGCAGACCCCTCGAGAACACTCCCATCAGATGTGGTACACACGCCGTTTATCAACAGTAACGACTACTACTGCGCGTTGAAGAAATTCGAATCGGAGAAAAATATCATCATTGAAGCAGTGAATAATTGTGCCAGTAGCTCGGGTTCAACTGACGATGCTCCGTCTGCGCAGTTGTTGGTGAGCAACAGTACCACCACATCTGCCTCGCTGGAGAAAGGTCCTACCCAGAGTGAACAGAAAAACAAGGGGAAAAACAGGAGAACTAGTAGAGTCATTTTTTGTGACGAGATTCAAGTCAGGGAATACGACATTGAGTTGTCGCGCATTGAAAAGTTCGGTGCGAGCATCGGCCCCGTTTTTACCGAGGAGAAGGAGCAGGAAGCTACGCCAAGCACGGTGAGCGAGGCAGGAAGCGCCTTAGAACTAACGGGCCAACCAGAGGAGGGAGAACAAAATGGAGCGCTGCAAGGTGAAGTGGAGGCAAAAGATGGGGCCCCCATAGAGGAAGACACCGCGCAAGAGCAAGACATCAAGTGGGCAATGGATAAGGACGACCCAAAGGACAAACCGATGAAAAAATGCAACAAAGATATCTCTGTAAACCTTGAAGATATTCATGTGGACGGAACATCCGACCAGAGTGGTAGTGCCAATGTGAAGGACTCTGTAGACGTTGCAAGAGGCGAAAGTAAAAAGGACCAAGACCCAAACACGCCCGTGATGGGCAATACAGAAAAGAAAATAATAGAAAGGAGAAAAAAGAAAAATCAGAATGAAAATTCAAACGGAAGTTATACACCCAATAGGAAGAATCTCAATGGTGGTAACAGAAAAGGGGTGTCTAACAACTTAGACGAGACCCCTCTTGTAAATGGTGAAAGAAATGAGACAAGTGGTGACCACATGGATATACACACGGAGGACGGCAAAGGAAAGAACAAGTGTGGGGGAGAAGAACAGCCATGCGAAGAGGAAAACATCACATCGTCGCTTAAAAATTATCAACCGGAAGTGATCGACGGAGAAAAGAAAGTAGAACAAATTGTTCCTCAAACGAAGAACGCTCCCTCCCTGAACCATGTCATTAAGGAAGAAAATAAAACAAAGGATGAATCGGGAGAAAAAAAAATCGATGAGGAACATTCTACAGGTGCCTCCACCAACGAAAGTGTCAATCCAAGCGGAAGTGTAAAGGTGGAAGCTGACCCCCCTCGAAGTGACAGCCTAAATGAACTCATCTCATCCCTCTTTAGCATTGATAATAATAATAATAGCCCCTCTTCAAACAGCGAACATAAATCAGTCCCATTTTCCTGCCTGCTGTACGAAGAAAATCTGCAGATAAAGGAACAGCCACTTAACGAAATATTACTCGAAAACAGAATTGAAAATAGCAAAGAAAATATATTCATTCCTGTGAAAAAAAAAGTGGGTAAGCGCATGCGCAACGGAACTGACAACATGCACACACAGATCATTTCAAAATATAAAAGGAAGATCAAAATATGTGCCTTAAATGAACAGAAAAAGGAAGGCACGTCTTTCTTCGATTTTAAAAATTACGAAAATGTGTATATGCCGCCAAAAAACGTCAGCCTGAATTTACCCGCCGAAAAGGAGACACACATTTTGAAGAAGGTAATCCGGCAAAAGAAGAAGGAGAAAATCCCGTCCCTCCATATCAACTGCAGGCAGAGTGCCCGGATAAAGAACCGGAACAAATTGGCGCAGTAGGGGTGGTGCTCGATGTTGTTGTGAACCTGCAGTGGTGTAAAAGCGCGTCGTGCGGTTCTGTTCTGCGTTTCTGTCCTACTTTTTATCCACATGGAGGTTGCTTTCTTCCCCTTTGTCCATTTATGTTAGCTAGCTAGCTAGCCAGCCATTTTTTTTTTTTTTTTTCTTTTTTTACCTGAACGGTTCATGCGAAACATTCCACGCGATGTGCGCCAAAGATAATTTTCCCTTAAAAAGAAATTAAAAGATCACCTTGAAGGGTGAAGCGCGGCACCGTTTTTTTCTCAGATCTGCAGGCTTCGATAATTCCAACATTGTTTTGCGACTCTGTGGGGAGGAAAGGCGGCGACGTGTGCGTGATAATTTGTCTGTTTACTTATTTGCTACGTCACTGCTTCGCATCTTTGGCACGCTGCATATGTGCGTTCGTATTGGGACGGAAGCCTCACCTAAAGGTCAAGAGGTGCTTCTCCGCGAGGACCCCCTCGCACTCGTTGTATCCCCCAGACAGCACAGTGACGATGGGGATTCCCCTCTCATGGGCCATCTGGTAAGTCATAAGGTCCCGTTGATAAATGCCCGTGTCGGACACGGACAGAAAGCCAAGGTCATCATCCGCACTGATGTCTACCCCGGAAAGGTAAAAAATGATACAATTTTGTTCGGCTTTTATATCATTCAAAACTTTTTTATATGCTTCCAGATAATCACCATCCGTTGCGAACGAATCAAACTCCACGTCTAGTGTCGAGTTTGCCTTCACCGGAGGGAAATTGTCCTTGCAGTGCAAACTGATCGTTTTTACGTTCGCGCAATTTCGAAATATTTCAGCTGTCCCATCCCCTTGATGGACATCCACATCGAGAATGATGGCCTTATCAATTATTCCATGGGACAATAAAAAATGCACTGCTATAGCAACATCATTAAAAATACAAAAACCATCTCCCCGATTTCTTTTCGAGTGATGATTTCCACCCCCTATGTGCATGCACATGAAGTATTTCATGGCCAGCAAGGAACTCAAAATGGTCCCATTAATTTCAATTAAAAATCTGCACACCAAATAAGGGTGTAAAGTTAATTCGTATTTTTCCACTTGTTTATTATGTGTCACTATGGAAAATATTTCTTCAACGAATCCTTCGTCATGAATGCTGAACAAAGGGATGATCATCTCACTGATGTTGCAGGAGGGGATGACATAATCCGAGTTGTATATCCCTCCTTCAATCAGACGGGAAAATATTTTTTCATATTTTTTTATTTTAAATCGATGATACTTTTCCTTCATTGGTACACTTGAGTAAATCGGGTGAAAAACATATGGTGGGTTCCTCGACAGGGAAGAAGAGTATCTCTTCTGGTTTGTAACGACTTTTGAGTGTCCTTCCCCTCCAAAGATGGCTAGCCGGGAAAATTTATTCAGTTCATTCTGTAATGGTGCAAATTTTGCACACACGTGGAGGTCCTCCTTCGATTGTGAATAATTTTTGTCCCACTTGAATAAAAATTTGTCAATGAGTAAATCGATACTGCTTTGAGATAACTTCGTTCTGTGCATGCTCTTTCGTGTAATCCTAATTGCGGGACGTTTGTTTCCTTCCAGGTAGGACATCCTCCTCACAGGGGATCCCCTTTTGGCCGAACACAGTGGGAAAATTGGGTGCCGTGCTACGGTGCAGTTGGGGATACGCGGAGAATGGTCAGGGGGGAGAGCCGCTATGGTGAGAAGCACATATAGGAGGAGAGTCATGCTGGGGGAGGAGAAGCGCACCCAGGAATGCATCCTACCGAGGGCAACTCGGAGGAAAGAACAACTCCCTTTTTTTAGCGGCATCGATGTAGAACCCCTTCCAATCTGCACACAATAACACCGGTTGGGTGTGCCAAGCATGAAGGGGGATGAAAACCATGTGGGGGGGAGGAAAATTTCATTTGGAGCATTTTTTTACACGTATGAAGAAGCCTTAACGAAGAGGATGTTCCCAACTGAGGGAGTGGTGGTGGTACATATATCCCTTGCGCCCTCTCACTGTCCCACGTCGCAAAAAAGAAAAAAAAAAAAAGATATACAAATACATTGTGACAAGACGAAGCGGGCGAATAAAACAATACCACTGAACATTCCGCAGAAGAGTTTTGGCTGGTTCTCTTCACATTTTTGTGGTGTGTTTTTTTTTTTTTTTTACCATCCTGTGGACACGCTTCCGCCTTAGGTTGGGAGACTCCCCATTTTGTGTCCCTCCCATTGTACGTTGCACAAAATCGGCCCAGAAGCGCTGTGGCGGGATGTGGTGCCCTCCGCAAATTGATGGTCTCCTTTCGCCTTGTTTCCCCAATTGGACATTCGTACTCTCGCGAGTTGTGTGTTCACGGAGGTTACCGCTTCGGGGGGTAGACACTCAAGGGTGGGACACGAACGGGGAAATAATAACACACACGAGAGGCACTTTTCCAGAGTCACACTGCACATGTCGTTTTTGCCTCCCTTCGCCGATGTGCACGCTTGAACCCCTTCGCAATTGCGCTTTCTTAAAATTTGTCCCGACTGCCAACTTTTTTTTTTTTTTTTTTTTTTTCTCAGGCATACATCTCGCAGATTATATATAAATATTTGCCGCTGCCTCGTTTTTAAAGAAACTAATTTTTTTTTTTTTTTTTCAGCAACACCCTTGATCGATGAGAAAATAATCATCATGTGTGTTCACTGCACATGACCAAAATGAAGCAGCAGGGGGGGGGGGAAATATTATCGTAGTGCAAGTTTAAGGGGGAAAAAAAAAAATTTTCTTTAAAAACGAGGAGGCGGCAACCATTTATATATATATATATATATATATATATATATATATATATATGTGTGTGCCCACTTGCGCCCTTTTTCTCCACCCTCTCTCCAAACGAAATGAATCACAATGAAGGGAGGTGCAATTTTGTAGCACACGGGGGGGAGATGGAAACTTCACATGGTCAATGGGGGGTGGATGACAGAAGGGGTAAGGTCGGCCAAGGGAATCCCCCCTCCACGAATGACCACCGGAATGGCCTGCAGCGCTCCTACGAGGGGGGCGAACTGTTTAATCTCAAGCGAGGTGTACAAAGAGACAACCCTAGGAAGGGCACAGAGGAAGGATGTGCAATATTTCCCGAGGAAGAACACGCCGATGGGGAGAGGAACCAAACAAATGGGTGGACGGCAGGAAACAAAAGTGGGTGGACAAAAAGGAGAGGCAACGTTGAGGAAGAGAACACGCTTCCCAGCGGAGAGCACACACCAGATGAGGGGAAAAAGGAAAAGTATGTCACTTACTGTGACAACGGGTATTTACGAGGATTACTGAAGAACGCTTTGTTCAAGCCTAGTTTGAAGGCCTTCCTGGGGACGAGGGTCATTTCGTTTCTTAATGAAAAGGAAAGACACAACTGTTCCATGGCCTGCAAGCTCCTCTTCTTCGAAACGTACTCCATGGGGAACTTAAAAAATATTTACAAGAGCAAATTTATTCGAAGTGAAAAGAGAAGCATGATATGGAAAATGATCCTGTTGGGGGAAAACACCTACCTGAGTGAGGATCTGTTTGGTGAACTGACAAGGAGGAGTAGTACGTACGAGAGGATCATAGAGAAAGACGTACCAAGGACCTTTCCTCATAGGTTCTTTTCTCCCGACGGGACCACAGAACCAGTAACCTCTAGGAACCCTTCATCAGATGATGGTCCGCCCCCCCAGGAAGAACTGTTTGATGTACTGAAGATATGTTCACTCTATTTTCAAAATGTGGGCTACTGCCAAGGAATGAATTACGTCGCTGCAATCCTCTTCCTTGTGCTTAAAGACAAGATGTACACAACCAGGTGTTTCATAGCTCTGCTAAAAAAATTCAACCTAAAAGGAATGTATATATATACCTTTCCCCAACTGAAGAAAATTATGTACCAGCTTAAAATACTCATAAGAAGTTACTGCCCTAAGCTATTTTTATACTTTCTAAGGAAAAAAATAAAAATTGATTTCTTTTGTATAAATTGGTTCATGACTCTCTTCTCCCAGGACTTAACTTTTGAACACACAGTAAAATTGTGGGACGTTTTTTTTCTCTTTGGGTTCAAAATATTAATAAAAGTTAGTTTAATTTTTTTATCTCACTTTGAAAAAAAGATTTTGTCTTTAGCATATGAAGAGGCCTTAACCTTCCTCAAGTCCATCACCAGATTCCCCTTCACCGATTACCTCTTCGAAGAAAAAAATTTCTTTTCTTACTTACAAAGGTTTAAAATTACCAACCGCACACTAAGACAAATTATTTTTCTCCGCAAAAATGGCATCAGGTTTGACCTTCATGTGACAAAGGACAATCACCGTGGGATTCAAACTAAGCGGTGCTCCGTCGTTATTTGTGAGAATGGAGACGAAGTGACGCAGGGGGGTGGCGGTACATCTGCCATGCATAATGGGGATAACTTCATGCACAGGTTCATGGATATTTTCCGGGGGGTAGTGGACAGAAGGATTGGTGATGATGCTGTTGGTAAAGCAATAAGCGAGAGGAGAAGACGTCCCCTTCCTTCGCGCGCCGCTAAACAAGAGAATTGTACCAACTTGTTCCTGGACCCTAACTGCTCCAACGACGTCGTCCCGGAGAATCAATGCCTCTCGCTGAACTTCAACAGTGGCCTTTTCTGTGGCGTCAAGGAGCAGCGTAGGTACCTGCGGGGGGACAGTACCACCGCCGATGGAAGCACCCGGGAAGAAGAGGCCACCGTGCAGGATGAAGGCAGTGCGCGCCCCAGTGGGAATGCCTTGGTCGACACGAACACCTACTGCGACTTGAATCTGACGAAGTCCTTTCGGTGAAGTTCTCCCCCGCAGGAAGGGGACCGACAGATATAAGGGCCCACTTTCCCCCTTTTGGGGAGGGCCCCCTGCACTGGATTGGAAAATTTTTCCAAGGGGAAGTACACTATTCATTTCGCAGCTTCATCTCGCCGCAGTGAGGCGGTGGACGAAGTACCAGCTGTGTTGTTTTCCGTTACTCATATATGTGCACGCACTGTTTCGTTGTGCGTATTTTTTTTTTTTTTTTTTGTCCTTGTTCCATTCCTCACGAACATGCTTCTTCGTAATGACGACTTTGTTTTGCGTACAAGACCATCTGTGTCCACTCCTAACGCAACGTTCTTCTCTAACGTGCCCATTTTTTTTTTTTTTTTTTTTTTTTTTTTTTTAATATCCACATTATGCGTGGACACACCTGCTATGATTAATTGGCTTCAAGTGGTGGGAGGATTCTCTTTTTATCCCTAACCGCCCGTCCTCCTTTCTTTATTTTCCCCTTTTAAAAAATAACTTCTTTTTTTTTTCTCGTCGCACGAGTACGTGTTTTGGTGTACTCTTCACTTCTTTACGTATCGAGATGGGAGGGTCAGTAGGCGAAGTTGCCTCTTTGGGGGTACGTGGGTACTTTTTTTTCCTTGCTGCGCCGAGTTGACCGTTTTTTTTTTTTTTTTTTCCTGAGTACCCGAATTGGTTTTACTGCTACATTGCAGCAACGCAGTTTTTTTTTGGCACCTTGTTGATTCACTTTTTTTTTTTTTTTATCCTTATTTATTTATAGTGCCTTGCCGCTTCACATATATATGTATATATATTTTTTTTATTTCCCCCCCGCATGGATGAGCATGCAAAGATATTTTTTTTCCTCAACGGCGATTTGTTTTAAGAAGCCGCTGTAGTTGTAGTAGGGAAAAAAAAAGAACCTTTCTCCCAGCCGCCCCAAAAAAAAGGAAAAAAAAAAAAGGAAAGAAAAAGAACAAAAAAAACAGCGCAAAGTGAATAGGAAGTAGGTGAAGCCCCCCTATATAACCTTGGCAAACACTTTTCTTTAAATCGCCTACCACCGAGTTGTTCACATTCACTGAGCGGTAGGTTTAATAATTAGTCGCCCCGCTTCTCCATCACCGCGGGAAGAAGCACATGGGTGTGTTTTACCTGCCCACCCGAATGAAAGACACGCAGTTGCGCACTCGAAACACACGGCTTTAGCAAAGCATGTCCAGTCGACTGTTAAAAAAGTTTCTGAAGGAGAAGACGCGCGATGAGATAAAAACACTGGGAGAGTCGCTGGAGGAGGAGGTGACGGTCAGGCCAAAGAAGAAGAACGTCTTTGCGTACTTGGGCGACTCGGACGGGAGCGCGGATAGCCAGACTGATGGGACGGTTGAAGAGGGCAACGAAAAAGTAGCGTGCAAAGGTAAGAAAGGGAAGCAGTCACAGAATGGTAGCGCGAAGCAACAGCAAAATGGCAACGCGAAGCAGTCTCACAATGGTAACGCGAAGCAGTCTCACAATGGTAACGCGAAGCAGCCACAACATGGCAACACGAAGCAACAGCAAAATGGCAACGCCAAGAAGAAGAAGAAAAAGAAGAAAAATTTGGACCAGGAAATCGACAACATACTTCACACAATGAACGCGGAGACGAAACAAAAAAAAAAAGGACCCTCAAATGGAAATGACCCCAATGAAGAGCCCCACGAAAAGGGAGAGGAGGGGGGCGTCCCACCCCAAATGGAACTCCCCGAATTGTCCGCATGCACACACGAAAAATATGATTATTGCTTAAAGCTAGAAAAAGGAAATTTCGATGTTAATATAGAATTAAAAAGAATATTTGGAAAAGATTTCGTCAAGGAAAAAAAATTCATACAAAAAAGTAAAATCAAATTTATAAAAAATTGGCTTATACAAGATTACACTACAAAAATAGTCCATCCACCAATTGCCATGAAAAAATATTTAAATGAATTTAAATTAGAAAAATATAGTCTCTACTTGGAAGCAGAAAATCTTTTTTACGTCCTATTAGATACTCACGACATAGAAGCAATGCATAATTTAATAAAAAAATATCCTTTTCATGTGGACACGTTATTAGTCCTGTCAGAGTATTATAATGAATCTAACAATTTTGAAGTAGCTAATAAATTCACGAAATTAGCTCTGCTCATTTTACAACACGTCTTTCACATGGACTTCCACCCCAACCACTTAAATAAAGAAAGACACATTTACGTGAACCCGTACCTATATGATAATAAAGCACTTTTTAAAGCACTTTACATGCACATGATGTCTTTAGAAAATGAAGCCTGTACAATTACCTCACTTGAAGTTGCTAAACTGTTGTGTAAAATTGACGTACAATTTGATTTGTGTAGTATTCTTCTTCGAATCGATAGCTTAATTTTAAAATGTAATTTATTTGAGTTCCTTATTTATTTCTCTTTCAATTTTGTTATACAAAATGTGCAGTGCGTCGTGCCACCTGCAAAGCTTAGCCAAATCATAAACACCTCCTTCCCTTCCGCGAAAAACAAGTTCTTCCACGACTCGATGCGCTTCCCTGAAGTGAACCACCACAAGTTGGACGAAGACATGTTGAAGAGGCAAGCGGCGCAGTATTATTTTGACCAGGAGGGCAATTTACACGAGGGCAACTTACACGGGGATAATGTGCACCAGGGCAATGTGCACGAGGATAATGTGCGCGAGGGGCAAAGCGCCCTACAGGAAGAGCCAACAAGTAAAATAAACCACCTGACCGATGCATGCACCCAGGAAGGGCCGACCCCCATCACAGACAAAAGAACAGACCAAGTGGACGACGCGGAAATGGAATCCCCACGTGAGGCAGATTGGAGTGATGGACCACTTAATGAGATGGACAGTGACCGTATATCAGAGTTGTCCATGGGGTCGGATGAGTCTGAGCACTCTGATCAGTCCTCAGTCGACGGGTCGCATGACCAATGCTCCATCGACCAGCCCGACGAACAATCCTCCGTCGACGGGTCGGACGAGCAATCCTCCGTCCGTGAGCCGCTTCACCAGGATGAGCCGCTTGAACAGGATAAGCCGCTTCACCAGGATGAACCGCTTCAGCATGAGCAGGACCCCCTGGACGGGCCCGCTGGAATCGCCCAAGAAGGCAGAATCGGCGAACAGACCCTCCAGAGCAAACTCCTATTTGACAATTTCGAAATAAGGTTGCACTTCATCCTCCCCAACTTCGCCTTCTCTCTACCGCTAAGCATGTACCTGAAGAATAACAACGTGGTCGACCACCAGCAGATTCGCTTGATCAGCGTGGACGACCTGGTGAGCTCCTTCACCTATGAAGAGTGTCGCTTCCTGAGCCCCCACTGTTCCATTCGTTTTGACTGCCACAGGGGTGGCCACAGTGGCAAACAAGACCGACTTAGCCAAAGTGACCATGCTAAGAATCACCTCGATAGTGGTGAGAACGATACGAGCGCCCTTCCCCAACTCAACCCCGATCAACACAAGAAGGAACAAGTACCCTCCCTGTCCTTCTCCGCACACTTGACCCTCCTAAGAGCACTCCTATGCTTCCCCAATTTCCTGCACACCTTTCTTAATTATAACAACTTCAAAACAACCAAGGTGGTGAAGAAAACCATTTATGAAACGTCCTTCAAGGACATCCTGGCCAGCCCTCCCTTTTCCTCCCCTAGTCTATTTCGCGAGGGAGACGATGAGACAGTACAAAAATTAATTTCGTGTTACCTGGAAAAGAACAACATATATTACAAGTCGGAGAAAATCATCACATGGTTTCACGTGTGCAGCGCGTTCCTGCATGACTTGTACAAGGACCCCGCAGGTAGGCCCATCGTTGCATCGCTGCATCGCTGCATCGCTGCGTCGCTACCTCCACACGTAGTGACATCTGTGATGCCGCGCCGCCTTCCTTCATCACCTTTTTTTTGCCCCTTTTTTTTTTTTTTTTTTCAACATGCCCCTTCGCAGCCACCCAAGCGCTAGATAAAGCACGAACTCAGTGGCACAGCAAGATCCCCCTCCTCGACATAAACAAGTACAAGGATGTCCGGGTCGGAGAATTCAAATCAAATAATTACCTGCTACCAGACTTCATGATGGAAAAAAACAGAACCTACACTCCACACATAACAGGAACCCCCTCCAATTATTACGTCTCCTTGAACAGCAATTTGATTATAGCCTTCTTCCAGAGTTTACTCCCCTGGTATCAAGTGGACTACTATGGTTATTAAAACGATTACAAAAGGCGAACAGGCCGCCGCTGCAACGGTGCATTGTCGTCGTGTGTGAACCTTTTTTTTTTTTTTTTTGCAAGTCCCATCGTGGAGACCCCTTCGTGGGTAACTCTCTTATATGCATCGCCCCCTCCCCCCCCCCCCTGTATTGGGGGTGCACCTCTTTTGTGGGTGATCCCCCCTTTACGCATTATTATTTTTTTTTTGGCCAAAATGGGGAGAAAAAGAAAAAAAAAATTTTAATTAGTTGAGAATTTTTGTGTTACCTCGTCCTTTTCATCCCTTTGCATATGTCGATGCAGCCGGGGGGGGGGGGGGGGATGTCTGGCAGGGCCGCTAATGGTAGTACGGCTAATGCTACCGCTGCAAACTGCCCACACACCATAATCATTTTTGAACCCCCCTTCCCTCAATGCAGGCACGCATTCAAGGCCTGTCTACTTCACCACGCTTATACAAAACGTGGTGAACGAAACCAAGCGTCTTTTTAATTTCGAGTAGTTGTTTTATGTTTTGTCCCTCGTCGGTTTTCACTTTGCGTGTGCATCTACGAACACGCACACGCATTAACCGCGCCCAAATTAACATCAAACAGGTTAGCAACGCACACGTTAACATGACACAGCTTAAGCACATATGCATGCACACGGAGGCGCGTGCGCGAGCGGGGCTTAAAAAATAATTTCGCGCCAGGTGGAGAAGCGGCTCTGCCGTGGGGGTGTACACTATGCTATGGCGCTTCACCGCTTCGCTACTTCGTCGCATCTTGGCCGCTTAACAGCATCCTGCGTAACAGTGTCCTGCTCAACCGCTTCGCTACTGCGCTACTTCGCCACTTCCCTACTTGGCGCAGTAGTACTTGGAGGCCTCCTCGTTGGTGAAGCACCAGTAAAAGTTTCCCACGCTGATGAAGGGGAACTTCTCCCTGGTGACCTCGCAGCAGAAGCAGGTGTGGACGCCCGTGAATTTGATTTGGCCCATGGGTGTGTAGGACTTGTAGGCGGTCTCGTTGAGTAGGTAAACGAATAGCACGATCCACATGATGATAAGAGCAGAGGCAGCAGTGATTCGAACGATCCATTCCCTTAGTTTCATTCTACATGGTGGTCTTCCTTCATCATTGATTCGTTTTTTCATAAGGGACATGAGGATATGAAAAGCATCCTCCTTGTGTACTTTGTTAGCGATTTGTTTCTTTCTGTAATTTTCTCCTCGTATTTTTTTTTCCCTAGCTTTTGCATTAATTAATTCTTTAGTTTCATTGGATAGGAACCATGAAAAGGGAGGAGAAGTCAACATACGTTCCCCCAAAGTACATTTGTCTGCTGCAGAAACAGTGGTGATGGTAGCAAAACCATAAAGGATCCCCCCCAGACAACCACCCATGTGAGCATAATTGTCGGTGTACCCAAACATACCAATGAAGATTCCAAATATAATTACCACCACCATAAAAATTAAAACAGAACAAGGACGAGGAATGGTCTTCCAATACTCTATGTGGTAGGTGAAGAGAGCTCCTATTAAACCGTATAAGGAGCCAGAGGAACCTATGGTAACACCACATGGGTCACAAACAGCGGACAATAAATTGCCTGTCACTCCAGATGTAAAGAAAAGGAGAAGGGTTCGTATGAATCCCCAATCAGGTTCAATCATCCACAGAATCTGTATTTGACAAATCACATTAAAAATAATGTGCATGAACCCACCATGTAAATAAACTGACCAAAAGAGACGATAGAGCTCTCCATAGTTTCGAATATAATTTGTATTCAGTCCTCCTAACTGATTATATACACGTGTATTTACACTATCCCAGCTAGACTCTCCTCTTCCATCTGCATTCTCTTCTACTTTGTTTGTGGGCCAACCTTTATCCGAGGCACTGGTCCCTACGAAATGTCGCTCAGATGCCGACTCTTCTAAATTGTATTCACATGCTCCATAACCAAGGAACACGAAAAAAGGTTCTCTCTTCTTTTCCACGTGTTCTGTGTAAATAGGGTACAGCACCTTGGATATACACCTACCATTAAACGTGTTATAATTAAAAATCATTTCTGCAAAGAAGACCCAAAAGAGTATCGCCGTGGAAGATATACAAACGATTAACCTGCCCACCAGTGGGTTGTTATTCAGTCTTGGGTCCTTCACCTTCACTTTGGCGTTTCTGTTTTTCCTTCTGTACTTCCCGAGGATGGGAGATGCAAAGGGGTTCAGCGGAGCCCTCCTCTCCACGGCTCCAGAGGGCAACGTGTGCAGAGGCTCATCGCTCGTCACTAAAATTTTTATGTCGCTGGGGCCTTGTCTTGCTCCCCTATCGGGCGCTCCTCCCGTTGCATCGGCTGTAGCCCGTCCCGATCGAGTGCCTCCCCCCCGTGCGACACTCATGCTACGGTCACTCTCCTCGTCACTGTCTTCGTTGTTTCCACTGGGGCCCTCCTCCTTGTCGGACGAGTCCACATTCTTCACTAACTTATCGCTGGACTGCAGCGCCCCTTTGTTCACTTTGTAATTACTCAGGATGTTCTTCTTCGGCACCGCTTTTTTGAATTCTCCTTTCTTCGAGGACTCTTCGCCCAACCTCCCAGGGGGGGACTCCGCCACCTGGAAGATCCCCTTATTCTTGCTCTTTTCTCCATGGTTCCCGGCGCTCGGTTTCTCCGTCCCCATGGATTCACGTGGGGGAAAAGCGAAGGGCAGCGAAGGGCAGCGAAGAGCAGCGGCGTGGAGCGGGGCGCTGGACAAAACGGGAAAACCGCTAGACAGGAAAAAAGGAAAACCCCCTAGACAGGCAAAACGGGACAAACGCCAAGGTTGGCACACATACAAAAAAAAAAAAAAAAAAAAAAAAAAAAAAAAAAAAAAAAAAAAAAAAAAACGAACAACTAGGCACAAACAAACAGGCAGACAAACGGGCAGACAAACAGTTGGAGTGACCAAGGTGGGCTCAAAAAAAAAACAAACAGTCTTAATTCCCCACCACTTCACACACCTTTCGTGGATCGATCCTTGCGCATGCAAAATAAGTCTCATGACGAGCGGGGAGTGCTAAGTATGCTTAGAAAAAAACTCCCCCGCAAATTAATTTGTAAAGTCAATTTGTAAAGTCATTTTGTAAAGTCATTTTGTAAAGTCAATTTGTAAAGTCAATTCGGTTGACAAGCCGAATGAAATGCAAAAAATAAATTTGGACAAATGAATAGGGTGGCCAAAATTGGAAAAATGGAAAAAAAAAAAAAAAATATCGTACACATATTAAAACAAATACATACATAAGCACATTTACCAATACGCCGTATGCGCGTAGGTACGTGCGCGGAATGGTCTGTTTGTTCGTCCGGCAGTAGGTACATGTTCATTGGGGGGGAAGTAAAATGCGGCCTAAAAAAAAATGTGTGTACAGTGGACTAGACTGGACTGGACGGGCCAAAGGAACGAACGGACGGGCTGAAAAAGGCCGAGTAACACGGGTGACCAACTGAAAGCAACCCCACCAAGGACACAAATACACCAAGTGAAGCGGGGTGAAGTGAAGTCGATTGGGGGGAGTAAGCGGAACAGGCCAAAGCCTCATGTGGCCACCTGTTCAGGCAAACGTGTGTGATTTGTTCCAAATTTGACGCAGTGCACCCAAATCAAAGTGATGCATGCCTAAGTTGTAAAGTGAAAAAAAATTTTAAATCACGCATACGGAAATGCGCACAGCACACGGCCTGGGGGGGGAGGATATTTTCCACTCAGTCCATTGTGCACCCAGGCAAGGAGGAGGACAAAATGGAAAAAGGCAAGCAGCGCATTATTGTCCAGCACAAGAA